CTCCCGGCCTCGCGCCTGCCCCCTGCTCGCGAGGTCCAGCCCCCATGCTTGGCCCTGTCCCAGGGCTGTCCCTTTCCCCCGGCTCCTTCCCGCGCTCCCGCGAGCGCCGCGCTGCACCGCCTTACGGATCCCGCGCACAGGCCCAGGATCAGGCCCTGCCGGCTTGGCCGGACCTCCTCTGCGCCAGGGGAGGGCGCGGAGCCCGGGGGTTGAGGGCGGGTGCGGGGAAGACCTGCTTGCTAAAGCACAGACGTGCCTCCCTGCCCGCGGTGGCCGGCCTCTCTGGGAGCTCTTCTTAAGGATTGGCGGGCGCTGCGGCCCTTTGTTGGCACCGCCAGCCCAGCCTCCTTTGGCCTCGAGGCGCAGAGATGCCTTTCCCCGCGCAGCCCGCCGGCCATCCGCCCCCTAGACCGCGCCGCCGCCGCGCCGGGAGTTCTTTGTCCGAGACAAAGCAGCTCAGCCCGGCCGCTCGGCCCGGAGCCCCTGGCGGCGCGAATCCCTCCGTGGAGCCGGGGTTCGGAGTTCCCCGGAGAGATGAGCGCTCACTAGCCGCTGAGCAGGCGCCTCGGCAGCCCTGCTCTCGGGCGGACCCCCTCCAACACCCACACGCACGGCTCGGGGAGGTCGACCGCCCGCCCTGCGCGGCCAGGAAACAAAGCTGGCCCCTCCAGGCAGCCCGGAGCCCAGCCGAGGGAGGGAAGCGAGAGCCTGGCGCCAACTGGACCGTGCCTGGGAGCCCGCGGATTCAAACCTAACTCTGCACTTTGCCTCAGCGGGAGGGCGATGGGGTCCGTGGGATTTCTGGCCCACTTCCCTACACACTTAGGAAGAAAGGAGCCCCCTCCTCTGCGTACCGCAGGGGGTCATGCCTCAAGGCTGGCCCAGGGTCCACCCTCATGCAGGAAGCCCTCCAGGTGCAGGGGGGGAGATGATCCCATCTCAGGTGGGTCAGACACAAGTCGGCTGGTTTAGAGGAACTTCCACCCCATCTCTGCTGTATTTCCTTCTTGGTTCCAACACTCCCCTCCACGAGGCTCCCAGATTCTGAATCCAGGTGTCTGAAAACTGGGGGTGGGGCGTGGGGCTTGAACAGGGGACCACAGTCTCTTCCTGCCCAAAGCCTTCTTATTCCTCTTTTTGGACTTTGAGCATGAGTTGGTCCACTGGTGGGGTGGGTGTCAAAGTGGGGACACTGTGGGGTGGAGGGGAGGAGGCAGGCAGGATCTGGCTTAGAAGATGGGCAAGATGGCTCACTGTGAGTGCCAGTCAGGGCTGGGCCTAGGGCCCAGCCAGCCCCAGGGCACTGGGCTGTGAGGCTCTGTGGGATCCAGCGGGGAGAGGCCCAGGCCGCTGGGTCGGGCCTCCTTGTAGACCAGGAGTCAGCAGACTTGCACAGTGGCTCACACAGTGTGTATTTTCAGCTTTGTGGGCCATACTGTTTCTGGTGCAACTATTCAGCTCTGAGGAAGAGCAGTCCTAGGTGGCATGGAAATGAACGGGTGTGACTGCTCCAGTAGAATTTTAACTATGGACATTGAAATGTGAACTTCATATAATTTTTATGAGTCTTGAAATACTCTTCTTTTGATATCTTTCAGCCAGTATGATATGCAAGCTATTCTTGACTCCAGGCTGTACAGGGACTGGTCGAGGGCTGTGTTTGGCCTGTGGCACAGTTGGCCACCCTTTGGTAGACTGTGGGGTGGTGGTTTTACCTTTAGTCAGTAGAAATCTGAGAATTCAGTCCAAAACGTTAGATGTTGATAAGAACAGAGAATGATGTCATAAGACTCATAAGCAGTGAATTATTTATCATCTCGGCAGCCTCTTCGAGTTCTGCTAAGTGCACTGCACAGTTTGATTCTCTTGGCATCAAGCTGATAGTGTGTGGCATGCCAGAGCCCCTGGCTAGATCCCTGGCCTGGCCTCGGGGTGGGCACCTGGGGGCCAGCCCCCCTGTGAAGTCAGCGGTCACTCCTGTCTGGTCGAGTCCCAGGGAGCAGTGAGGCTCAGGCAGGGTCACAGAAGGAGATGTCTGCAAGGCTGGGTTCTTGCCCACGTCCCTCTGCGTGTGGCTGTTCTGCTCCCTTTCCTGTTTCTCTCCATCTTTCTCCCCTGGGGTCAGACCATCACCCCGGACGGCCAGGCAGGTTTCTGCTACTGGCACCCACTCTGCCTCACTCCTCCCCTCCCAGACCATTAGATGTGGGTTTATGGCTGCAGAGCGAAGGTCAGCAGCTGCCCGGGGCCGCAGCTTCCTGTGTGGAGGTGCCCTGCAGAGCTGGCCTCACTGGCTGACGCTTTGTTCACCCACTCAGGCTGCCTCCAGGCAGCACCAGAACCTGCGGTCACCCCAGTGTCTTCCTGGCCCTGCACCCCATGGCCTGTCCATCAGCCTGAACTGCCTGATGCCCAGCCTCTCTGGAGTCTGCCACATTGGTCCCATGGCCCTGGCCCCGGGCCCTCATCTCACCAGAGCTCCATCAGAAACCACTCTAGCGATGGCCCTGTTTCCATCCTAGAACAGTCTACTTGCTACACAGGCCAGCGTGATCTCTTTAACATCACACTATGCTTAAACCCCAACTTAACGCCCCCCGCAGTGGCAGCCCATCGTCTCCCCAAACCCAGCAAGTCCCAGCCCACCTGCCTCCCCTCAGAAGGTTTGGGTCCCCAGTTTCCTCTCATGCCCTAAATCAGCCAGGCTCTTTCCTGCCTCAGGGCCTTTGCACGAACTGCTCCCTGGCCTGGAGCGCTGTGTCAGCCCAGTGTTAGCCCCTCAAACAGGCCCTTCTTTGTCTGTGAGGCAACTGTGCCTCATCTCCCATCACCCTGTCCAGTCACCCCATTTGTGCTCTTGTGTTTGTCACAGTCTCTGACAGCCAGTGTGTGCTTTCTCCTCACAGTCTGTCACCCTCCAGGGTAGGACCCTGCCTCCCAGCACCATTTTAGGCTACAGAGATTCTGGTACAAACCCAGCCTAGCTGTCAGCTGGAGCTGCCTCAGTGTGGGTGGACAAGGAGGGCAGAGCCTCCAGGCCAGCAGGACGTGTAAGACGCTGTCCATCTTCCCCCTCGGCCTGGGCTTTGTGAATTGGGTGACACGCGTGAAGATGTGAACATGATCCATTTCACTGCTGCTCACATGGATGTGGGCTTGGCCTTGGCGAAGCGGGAAGCTTCCTGGTTCATTGATCCCTGTGCCTTTGGCAAGCCCAGACTGCCTGACCCTTTGGTGCAGGGCGTGTACAGGGCCTGTGGGCAGCCGCCCGCGAAAGCCACTGCCCCAGGGCAGCCTCTGCCCCTCTAGGGGTGGCAAACTGTACAGGCCCTGTGCTGGATTTCACACACACAGTTGTGCCCGAACGTTTCAGTCCTGATTCCAGAATAAAGGTTGTACCAACGGTGCTGTTGGGTCACTCAGTGTGGAGGAAACTTACCCATCTCTCTGTTTCTAACAGAGTGACCGCCTTCTGATCCGAGGTGGGAGGATCGTCAATGATGACCAGTCCTTTCACGCGGATCTCTATGTGGAGGACGGTTTGATAAAGTAAGTTTCTGCCTCAGCTGTCTTCACAGGTCAAACGCGTGCACACTGACCCCACACTCACCCAAGTCCACTTCCAGGTGAGATCCACGTGGGTGCTTGTTTTCTTTCCCAAAACCTCATTCCCTGGAAACAGCTCCCCCCAGCTGAGCCTGCAGTGAGGGCTGAGAGCAGGACAGTGGCTTCCTTGTTCGTTGTCACAGCCTCAGTACGACTGGGGCCACAGTAGGTGCTTAATACACACTGACAGACCACACCTGTTGGCTTCTCTGCTTGTATCTGTCGAGCAGCTGCAGCCTCTGGTCAGTAAAGCAGCAAGTGGACACGTAAGTGGACACACAGGGCCGGGTCCCCGTGTTGACCGTCCCAAGCCGCTGAGAGGCTGTCTCACTCGCTGACAGTCTCCAGGGGCCGGGCCACTCATGTCTTGGCCGTACTGCCCTTTCCCTCAAGGACAGGAGCCCGAGTGCGAGCTGCCCAGTGCCGCAGCGTGGCCAGGGGGCCATTCAGGCTCGATCCAGGCTCCTCCTAACAGGGAGCTCTCTGTTGCTTTCAGACAAATTGGAGAAAACCTCATCGTCCCTGGGGGCATCAAAACCATCGATGCCCACGGCCTGATGGTCCTGCCAGGTGGAGTCGACGTCCACACGAGGTTGCAGATGCCAGTCATGGGCATGACCCCAGCTGACGACTTCTGCCAGGGGACCAAGGCAGCCCTAGCAGGAGGGACCACCATGATACGTGAGTGTCTCCCGTGGGCGAGCATCCTCCCACACCCCGGTCCTATGGCCCAGGTGTCACAGGGAGAACCTTGCCCAATGGTGTCCACTCAGATCTGTTTCTCTTTGCCACGCCTCGCTCCAGGGCTCCTCGAGTGTCTGCTCATTAGACCTGTTCCTCATTCTGAGTCATGCTGCCTTGGCCAGCTCTGGAATGCTCCTGGGATTTCCACAGGAGCAGATGGATGTGTGCCCAGGAATTTATTATTTCCTGGGGAGCTAGCAGCTGGCCAAGGACTAGGTTTGGACAACCCAGGTGCCTCGGAGAAGTGCAGGGGTTGTGTTGCCTGAAATGTCAGACACCTTTACCCCCAAACCTCATACGTCTGAGGCTGATTTGCAGAAACTTCCTCCCCTGTCAAGAAGAGCTAAAGACAGAGGCTGTGTTTTGGGGAGAAGGATGACAAAAATACTGTTATCCTATCAACAACCCCAGAGGTACAGTTTTTTTGGTGCCGGCTCTGTGCCAGGCTCGAGCACGCCTTAACCTGCTTCTGCTCGAAAAACGCTCTGAACTCAGCAGAGAAGCCCCAGGGAACAGCCTACAAGGTGAATTCACTTGCCCACCAGGAACTTGCTCGTGGTCAGCTCGGGCCAGGACGAGCCACCAGCACACAGCCCCTTCTCCCGCGGGCTTGAGTGCCATCAGCCCAGCAGTGCCAAGTACAGATACCTGGTCTGACGGACCCAGTGGAGCCCTGGCTGCACCACAGCCCTGCTGTGTGACTTCAGGCAACTCCACACACTCTCCTGCTCTGTCGGGCAGGAGGAAGTGGCTGCCCTCCCTGGAGGCAGCGCACGTCGTTGCCTTGCTGTGCTCAGCACGTGGTGAATGCCGTCACTGCTGCCGCCGGGAAGGGCTGCTCTGGGGGCTCCGTGCTACTTCACGAGTGACATTTAGGCATTGCAAAATCACGACCCAGTGTGGCTTACTGAACTCTGAAGTTGGGGGGGCACAACAATGGTCCACCTTCTAGTTTGACTAAGGAGATGCGTCATGTCAGACCCTTGGTCCTGCCTACCACTGGGGGCCCAGGCCGAGCAGGACGTATTTGTGGTTATGCCACCCACTCCTGCCAGTGCTGAGGCAAGTCGGCAGGTGTCATGTGAGGACAGACAGAGATGCTGCAGCCCCAGGCTGGAGCTGTGACCCCCCACAGGGCGGGGCCCTGGATTGGCCATCTGAGCTGTGGGATGCAGGCGGGCCTGCGTGAGGGTGTGCTGGAGGAAGGCATGGCATTTACCGGTAACCTCAGGATGAGTGTGCCTTCCCATCAGCAGCTCCACTCTGAATTCTTTCCCTGCACCTGGCAGATGCCGCAGGTGGTGTTTGGACATTGGATGTGAGGTTGCCAGCAGAGTGGCAGGACAGTGCAGTGGCCACGTGCACCCCCAGTTTCCCCGGGGATTGGGTAGCACTGTTCAAGGGGTGTGCGGTCAGTGAGGCACGAGGGAAATCAGTCCCGAGCACCGTTTGGGCAGGGTCACAGGTCCAGCACCACGGACAGCGGCGCCTCCCCTCCCCGTCCAGCCAGGCCTGTGTTGAAGGTTAAGGCCCTTAACTGGCACTGTCTCTTTGGGGTGTTTCCATCAGGAAGTGAGGACCTCCTCTTTCCGCCCTTTGGCCACAAGTAAGGCAGGTCCACAGCAGCCCCAGCCCCACTCAAGGTGCGAAGCCTCTCCTCTGCTTTCCTCAAACACATTCCCTGGTCCCCTGGAATAGGAAACCGCTCTCCCCCGGAGACCCAGGTGGTTCCCCGTGGCCGGGGTGGGGGCTCCGCTGACCATGCCGTCCCCCACAGTGGACCACGTGTTCCCTGACGCGGGCGTGAGCCTGCTGGCCGCCTACGAGCAGTGGCGGGAGCGCGCGGACAGCGGGGCCTGCTGTGACTACTCCCTGCACGTGGACCTTCCGCGCTGGCACGAGAGCATCAGGGAGGAGCTGGAGGCGCTGGTCAAGGACAAGGGTGAGCGGGGCTGCGGCTGAGTCGGGGCGGCTGCAGGGCCTGGGCTCTTCCGGCCTCGGGTGGGCTCTTGTCCATCTGACCCAGGGCGGGTGGCTGGGAACTAGGGGCAGTTGGACAAGAGCAATTTGAGGGCCTAGTCTACCCCACAAGGGTCTGGACTGAGAGGTCACCTGTGTCCTGTGTCTGGGGGTGCGTCCTGTGGCCGTTCTCCTTACAAGAGGACAGCCAGTCACAGCTGCCACCGGGGCCCACTTGTTCCTCAGCCCTGGGTGAGGGAAAGGTGCTCTGCGTCTCCCTAGCACCTGAAGACCCCTTAGAAGGAGAATGGCTTAGCCCCGCTGACCCCATCGCTGCCTCTGCTGAAATAGGACTGTTTATAAACACGGCTTAATTTTTTTTTTAAATCAAAAGTCCTGAATCTAAAACCACACCAGAGTTTATAGTGGACTTGATAGAAGTTAGATGGGTGTCATAACTGATCCCTGGTGATCAACTTCGAACGTGGTTGTAGCTTCCAGCCAGGAGGCGGAGGGAGGGTCAGGGCCTGCGTGGGCTGGGAGGCCAGGACGGGCACGTGCTGGCCGCGGGGTGGGGGGAGGGGCCTGAGGAGAGTCTGTTGGGGGTGTGAGGGGCTAATGATGGTGCAGGAGTCGGGGGCCATGGGGGCGTTAGTGAGGGGCTGTGAGGGGTCTGACCTGCGTTTCCCACAGGGGAACAATTGGTTCTTGACCCCAGAGCACAGGAGCAAGGGGGCTGGGCTGATTCCATCCCCTGTTCCTGCTGGTCAGGAGGGCCGAGGGCCCGAGGGCTGCCTACTGGCTGGTGAGCACCTCCCTGCTCCCAGGGAGGGCCACCACCCACCGCCCCTCTGAGACCCTCCTGCCTCCCCTCCAGGCGTGAACTCCTTCCTGGTCTTCATGGCGTACAAGGACAGGTACCAGTGCACAGACGGCCAGGTAAGGCCGGGTGCCGGGAGGGGGACAAGCAGGCATCTCGGGCTGCTGCCGGGAGACGTGGCCCCACGTGCCGGGCGCCTCTCTCCCTAGATGTACGAGATCTTCAGCGTCATCCGGGACCTGGGAGCCGTGGCCCAAGTGCATGCAGAGAATGGGGACATCGTGGAGGAGGTGCGGGCGATCACTCGGGCGTGAGCGCTGATCCCGAGAACCTGAGGGAGGGAGCCTTGAACCTGAGCCAGTAGATAGCTTCCCAGGTCAAAGGGCGTTAGGGAGCCCGGGGGCTTTGGCCATAGTAGGTTTTTCCATGATTATCACACTTCTTATCATAAATGCCCCCAAACCAAAGTGCGGCCGCGTGGAGGATCCTGAGGCCAGGGTTCCCGTGTCCTCCGCCCCCTGGGCTGAGGACCCTCCGCAGCTGTTCCTTCTGCCCACGTGCGCATGGGCTGGGTTGGTGGTCCTGTCCTCGGTCACAGCCCTCCCAACTCCCACCTTCCCTGCGGCCCAGAACTGTGGGAGGGGCGCTTTCGGCCTCTGCCCTCACTCTTTGTTTTCCTGTCAGCTCCAGCGCCCACGGGTGCAGGCGAGGCGGGGCCCCAGGGAGGTCCCGGGGTTCCTGGGGGGTCACACACACACAGCACACTTCCCTGACATTCGAGACCCACAGAGAGGCTTCCTGGAACAGGTCAGGCTCTGCCCCAACCCGCGATCAACAGGAAGGTGGAGACAGCCAGGGAGGGGCGCCTGGGGTTCAGGGCATGGGCGCTGCCTGTGACTCCAGGGCCCGAGGCCGCGGAACGTCGAGGATCAAGCTCAGCATACAGGACGGTGGGCAGAGTGCCGGCGGGGACACCCCACGGTGCTGGGGGGGGTTCTGCTCCCACACTCTCCACACCGAAGCTCGTTTCCACTAGAGGGGCTGAGGCCCAGGCCCTTGGGACGAGGGAGCCAGCGGAGGAAGCAGCCCCCACCCCTAACTGCAGACCCCCACATCACCCCAGACATGCAGCCACTGGGGAGACACAGGGCAGCGAGGCTGGGGGGTCTCGTCCCCTCCCTCAGGGACCTGCGGCCTTGGGCCAGGTCTTCCCCTCTGCAAGCCCTGTCCCCTCACCCATAATTTAGGGAGCTGGAGTCACTCCCCTTCCAGGTCACCCCTCTGCTCCATTCTGAGTTCTCTGTGGTTGGTGACTCTGGGGGCCTGGAAGTCAGGGCTCATCTTGGGGAACAGGACTCACATGAGAGGTCAGGAGGTCAGGGGTCACCTGAGAGGTCAGGGCCCAGGGCTCATCTTGGAGTTCAGGCCTCACGTAAGAGGTCAGGAGTCAGGACCCCTCTGGGGGAGCCATGGTCCTGGGCCGTGGACTTCGCGCCCAGGCGAGGCCCTTGGGCCCTGCTCCCCGGCTGGAACGAGGTACCCCGGTGTGTGTTTAGGAGCAGAAGCGGCTGCTGGAGCTCGGCGTCACCGGCCCTGAGGGCCACGTGCTCAGCCACCCCGAGGAGGTAGGAGTGACCTGCTCGGAGCGCTCCCCACACCAGGGGTGGGAGCTGGCCCCTTGGCCCGGGCAGGGCTGTCATCCTGCTGCCCTCACCTGGGAGGTGTGAGTCAGACCCCCCCACCCCCGCTGTGACCCTGAGGCCTTTCTGCGAGGCTAGACGACCCTGGGTCTGGTGGGTCAGCCAGATTCTGGGCACCGAGCCCCGGCTGAGGGCCTCACCCGCCCCGGGTGCCCCTTCTGGGCCCCAGGGCCACACCCACCCCCCGTCAGGGGCCCCAGGGCCCTTGTGGAGCCTGAGCACCCTGGTCCCCAGGTGGAGGCTGAGGCCGTGTACCGCGCCGTCACCATCGCCAAGCAGGCCAACTGTCCCCTGTACGTCACCAAGGTCATGAGCAAGAGCGCGGCTGACGTGGTGGCCCGAGCCAAGCGCAGAGGTGAGCGTGGCAGGTGGGGTGCTGGGGTCAGCCCAGTCCTCAGCCTCCCAGGGCCTGGCTGGCTGGACCAAGGCCGTGTGCCCTCTGCCCCGGAGGCCCAGGTAGGAGGCGGTGGGTCAGTGAGAGAGTCCACGCATGCAGGCATGTGCAGGCATGGTGGGCAGTCAGCTGGCAGTGTCTCTCTGCAGGCCCCCTGCAGGGGTGTGAGGGCGCGGGTACAGAGGGACCCACTGTGGGAGCCCCGGGCCGGGTGTCCCGGAAGCAGGGGATGAGCCATCCAGGGCCGGGAAGCAGAGGGGCAGTTGGGGCGTGAGCAGCACCGTGCTGAGGCCTGGCCCTGCTGGGGTCCGGGCGCACATGGGCCGCGGTGCCTCTCACTGCCTCACCGCAGGGGTGGTTGTGTTTGGGGAGCCCATCACCGCCAGCCTGGGCACCGACGGCTCGCACTACTGGAGCAAGAACTGGGCCAAGGCCGCGGCCTTCGTCACATCGCCCCCTATCAACCCGGACCCCACCACGGCAGACCACCTCACCTCCCTGCTGTCCAGGTAGGGAGCTGCCCCTGCGGCCCCAGTGCCCTGACCCCTGCCGCTTGCAGCTCCAGGCCTCTCCCATTCAGAGAATCCACACCGATGTCCTTGCCCTCCAGTGCCCTGCACTCAGGCCCCAGCGCTGCCCTCTCTGACAGCCTCTGGCCCCCATGGGCCGTGTGGCCCGGGTTCGGGGTAGAGTGGAGCCAACAGGGCCTTTGCCAGTCAGGAAGGACAGGCCCCTGGGCTCCTCTGACCCTGGCTTTCCTCAGCGGGGACCTGCAGGTGACGGGCAGTGCCCACTGCACCTTCACCACTGCCCAGAAGGCTGTCGGCAAGGACAACTTCACACTCATCCCCGAGGGCACCAACGGCATTGAAGAGCGCATGTCCGTGGTCTGGGAGAAATGCGTGGTGGGTGCAGAAGTAGGGGCATGGGGTCCCCTCCACACTGGAATTCTGCCCGTTCATCAGAAAGGGAGGTCACTTGACCAGTGAATTCACTGAGTGGAGCAGAGTTTGGAGTGGGTGGGCCCCAGGGTGTCGCACCCTGCCCTCCATCCAGGGCTCCTCAGACATTTGTTTCTGGTCCCCCTGGAAAAGACCCCACAACGATGGGGTCCTAACATGGCCCTGGGGGAGCAGGGTCCCTGCCCCAGTAGAATTACACTCTGGGACGTCATGGTCTCCCCAGAAGGCCTGCCATTTCCTCAGACGTCCATCTCACTTGGAGGGCCCTACCTGGGGGCCTCTGTCTGCATCCCCCAACCTTGGCCCTGAGTCCTTCCTGAGGCCCTGACCCTGGTTCCTGGCCACCCCAGGGGGACTGTCATGTCCCTCAGGAACATGGACATCTTTGTGGAAATGTCCGCGTTGACTTGCCTGCTTAGTGAGCAGCCTCGTGCCCAGGAAGGACCAGACCCGCAGGCGTCACTGAGATGGACCCGTCGACTCGCAGGCAGCGGGTTCTGATGCTGCCCGAGGCCTGGGGGACAGGGACCGCCTCCACACCAGAGCCCCAAGAGCAGCCCCACGTGGGGTCACCCAGGCCCTCCCTCCCCTCACCCAGGCCTTCTTGCTTCCCAGGCCTCGGGTAAGATGGACGAGAATGAGTTCGTCGCCGTGACCAGTACGAATGCTGCCAAAATCTTTAACTTCTACCCACGGAAGGGGCGGGTGGCTGTGGGCTCTGATGCTGACCTGGTTATATGGAACCCCAGGGCCACGAAAATCATCTCTGCCAAGAACCACAACCTGGTGAGAGACGCAGGTTCCATGTGGGGTCAGGCTGGGGTCCGGCTGGGAGCCACAGCGCTCCTGGGCAGGGGCAGCGGGGCGGGGAGGGTGCCGGGCGGGGCCTGCCCCGGCCGAGGGAAGGCTCCACAGGAACCCGCGGGGCTCCTGAGAACACGGCTTCCTCCTGAATCCCGCCCAGCCTGCGGGGTCCGAGAACGTGAGGACGCGGGCCAGCCCCGGGCTGAGGGCTACTGTCTCCCCAGAACGTGGAGTACAACGCCTTTGAAGGTGTTGAGTGCCGGGGAGTCCCCACGGTGGTCATCAGCCAGGGCCGGGTGGTGATGGAGGACGGGGCCCTATTCGTCACCCCCGGGGCTGGCCGCTTCATCCCCCGGAAGACGTTCCCGGACTTTGTCTACAAGAGGATAAAGGCTCGCAACAGGGTAAGGCATGAGCTGGGCAGGCGGGCAGGCGTGGAGCTTTCGGGGCTCCCCTGGGTCTGCCGACGGCCTCGGGCAGGAAAACACAGCGGCCCCACTGCTCCCGGCCGTGCTTAGCAGCGTTTTGCCTGCTGCGTTACCAGGCAGCCCGTGTGGCCATAGATAGCATGGGAGCGAGGCACATAAAGACCCCTAGTAGCCCCTCGCCAGGCCGACGTCCACTAAACCTGGCGGAGGCCTCCCGGGAGAGCCCGTGAGCAGGCGCGCACCTTGGTACAGTCAGCACTGAGGACGTGTGCTTTGCAGCGGCGCCTCTGAACTTGGAAGTGGGGAGCCCTTCTTCCCATGAGGGTTTGGCCAGCTGCCCGATGCCTCTGACAGGTGCCTGGGTGTCGCCCGGACCCTGTGCAGCAGGGGCGGCGAGTCAGGCACGAGCACACTCGTGCACACGCGGTTACTGTGCACACCGGTTTGCTTTTCCCAGCCCTGTTTCCAGTTTTCTAGGGTATCTGAACTGGAGGTGACGAGGGGTGGCTTTCGGGACAGGCTGTGAGCGGGTCCTGGGGGCCAGGCGTGCGTGGGTTTCTCCCTGGGAGAGTGGAGTCTGTCCTAACCAGACCCCGCTGCTCAGGCTGGCAGGGCCCTCGTGGCTGCCTCCCCAGGTCTGACCTGGGAGTGCTCCAGGGTTTGAGCAGGGCGAGAGGCAGGGGCCAGGGCCGAGGGCTGGGCACTCCGGCCGAGGGGAGAGGTCCAGGGCCCCCGGGGGCGCCGGCCACAGGCAGCTCTGTGAGGTGGCCGACCAGCCCGTGCGCAGCCACGGCACAGAGCAGGCAGAGGGGACCAGCTCCTCATCACACACCCGGGGTGGTGGGGCCGGGTGCACACCCAGGTCCTCAGACTCCACACCCCACGCTCGCTCCTGCCTGTGCCCCCGCCCCGCTGGGACTCCCGGCTGAGGGCAGGGTCAGGTCAGGACCCCAGGGGCGGGCTCAGGCCTAAGGTCGTGAGTGTGAACCACGAACCCCAGGGTGCTGCCAGCTGGAAACAAGAATTTCTGAAGGTTTTACTTCAACCCTCAGACAGTTCATCTGTCATGGGGGGCAACCCCCCAGGAAAGGGTGTCTGACTTTGGGGGCCATTCGTGGAGGACAGGGCCCAGGGCTTCCTGGGGACAGAGCGGGGCCTGCGTGGGGGCCGCGTGGAGACCGCGGGGCAGTGGGCGCTCAGGGGGCAGTGACTGCTGGGCCACTTTTTGATCCCAGAATGAGGCCTCCTCTGCTGGGCCTCCCGTCTGAGCAGCTCCTCCTGCTCAGGGCGCTGCTGCCCAGTTTGGGGGGGGGCGTGTGCGGGAAGGTGTGCCCACACTCGTGCAGGGGGAGGGGTGTGTCCATGTGTGTAGGAGGGAGCAGGGAGGTGCGTGTCCACACGGGTAGGAGGGAGGCGGAGGGAGGTGTGTGTCTGCACTTGGGGGACGCCCACATTAGGCGTCCAGCTGCGAGGGGAGCAGGCCAGGCCCTCTTCTTCCCGGGACCCCCGTCCTCCGCTGAGGGCCAGCCCAGCGCCCCCTCACGCCCAGCCCCCTCGGCCCACAGCTGGCGGAGATCCACGGAGTGCCCCGAGGCCTCTACGACGGGCCGGTCCACGAGGTGATGGTGCCCACCAAGCCGGGGGGCGGCGCCCAGGCCCGTGCAACCTGCCCCGGGAAGATCTCAGTCCCGCCTGTTCGCAACCTGCACCAGTCGGGGTTCAGCCTGTCTGGTGAGTTGAACCTGGGGGTGCCCAGCCTCTGTGGGACTCAAGGACCCCACGGAGTCCAGCCTCCCCGCCCTCGGGGCCCCAGCCCCAGGGCTGCGTGTGAGGCGCGTGAGGAAGGGGTCTGGGTCCGTGGGGGCTCTGGTGGGTGGGCTTTGCGTGCAGCCGCCAGGCTCGGGCCTCTGGTCAGGGTCTTGGCTGTGCTCCCAGCATGCTGAGGGGCACAGATTCTAAGGGAAGCACTGAGCACCCAGGTCTCGCTGCAAACCAGAGCCAGACCCTCCTCCATCTCCCCAGCCCCTGGGTGGAGGCCAACCCACCCCCGATGTCCTGTCTCCTCCCTCTCTGGGAGGTGACGGCAGTCCCTGCTCCCCTCCTGGGGACGTAGGGCCAGGGCCAGATCCTCTTTGAAATGCAGTGTCGTCTTAAAGGCTAGGGTAGCCCTGGGCCATCAGGGGTCCCATGCGGGGCAAGACCCCCAGGAGGGACGGACAGGACGCACCTGGCCTGTGCTCCTCTGGACAGGCTTCTTGGAGGTTCCACCTTGACCTCCAGTCTCTGGCCTCAGCCATGGCCGTCGGGGAGCGTGTGGGGAGTGGGGGCTCTGCAGTCCTGGGCTCAGGATGCGGCCAGCCTGTCTGTGTCCCCTCCCCGAGCTGCCGCTTCCACCCCCGCCATTTCCCCAGGATCTCAGGCCGATGACCACATCGCCCGACGCACGGCTCAGAAGATCATGGCGCCGCCCGGCGGGCGTTCCAACATCACCTCGCTGTCCTAGGTGCCGCGGGCCGGCGCGTGGGTGCTGCCCTGGGGGCCAGGCCCCCTCCCCGCCCCCGTCACTGTCCCTCCGTTGAACCTACTTTCAAAGGTGCTTGGCCTTACCTTCCCCTCCCCAGAAACAGTCCTCCTGGGGTCCCAGTCCTGTCACAAGGAGCCCCCACAGGACAGGCTGAGCTGGGGGGTTACTCTGCCAGGGCGAGGGGACAGCTCAGGTGGCCCTGAGCCCAGGTGCTGGGGCTTCGGGATCCCGGGGCGGCTGGGCCAGGCCGAAAGGCTGCGGGTGCAGTGCCCTTGTCCCCGACACGAGTCACTGCCCCTCAAAGCCCCCAGCCCTTCCTCCTGCTCCCGGATGGAGGAGCAGCCTGTCCCCGCTGTCCGCCCCGCGCAGGGAGGCGTGCCCCCCTCCCCGCCCCCACTGGAGCTGCCGTGACTTCAGGGACCTGCCAGGAACAGTGTAGGGCAGCCTCCGGCGGGACTTCCGCAGACTCGTCTGCACACCTCCCAGGACCAAACCTCTGCTTCCATAGGGCCCGTCTCCAGGGAACCTTAGGACCCTTTGGCTAAGATGCATTTCTTCACTATTAAGTGTGCATTCCAGTAGTTTATTAGAGCAACAGTTTTGTGTGGTGAGGACACCTGGAGCCAGGAACCCGCATGCCACCCGCAGCCCAGCGGCCTCACCGGCGCTGTGCCTGAGTCCCACGTGAATCAGGTCGATTAAAGGCATCTGGGCTGGAAGCCGCTGGCGTGTGGAGAGCCCTGACTTCTCTGCCCCTACGCCGTCCCCCGGGGGTTCAAGCATGGGACCCTGGGGAACACCCTGCAGCCCCCAGACCTGTCTTCGTGCGCCTTCGAAGCTGGACTTGCAACCACAGGCAGGGCTGTGCTTGGCCTCCGGGCTGGGGCCGGGGCAGGGCTGGGTCTGAGCTGTGGGGAAGGGCCTTGCCTCTCAGCGAAGGGGGCCCAGGCCTGCAGGTCAGAGACAGCCAGACATTCAGAGGGAGCGGACCGGCAGGGAGGCCCCCCACCCACATTCTGACCCAGCAGGCCGGGGGCAGCACAGGGCCTGGGGCGCTCCCACAGCCAGCGGGTGGCAGCGGAGGAGGTGGGGCCTGGGTCCTGCCCCCTTAAGGCAGAGTGGCCCAAGTTCTGATCCAGACCCCTGGACTGTGCTGCCCCAGAACCTTCCAGAAGATGGAGCTGCTGGCCTCAGCCCCATTCTCAAATGTGTGCCTGTTCTGTGCCCCAGGTGTGGGGCACTCCCAGGGTGCAGTCTTCGCCCCAAGAGCATGGGGAAGGGTCGAGGTCAGCACCCCCACCAGGCGTCCATTCCCAGTGGTGACGGGGGGCGGTCCAAGCCATGTCCTCTGGGGGAGCACAGACAGCCCTGCCTTTGCATCCAGGCCTCTCACGTGCTACGCTGGACCAGGGCAGCCCCCTGGAGAAGGTCTGTCCTGGGGCTCTGCCGCGTTCCTGGGGGCTCCCTCTGGCTCAGATTGCTGGTCAGTGTCACCTCAGAGCCAGCTTCCTGGGGCTCCACTGAGGCCACTGCCCACTGTGCCCGCGTGCACCCCACTGGAAGACAGGACGGCTGGGAGCCACACCCACATCCCTGCCACTGACTCGGGGACAGCCATGCTGTCCCCAGGATCTCAAAAACGCACACTGGGATGTACACGTTTACACAGAGCCCCACGCCTCCCCCCACCCAGTTCCTGCCTCTGACGTCACCAGAGGCCCAGAACTTTCTCTGGGGGTCAGTGCACCCGCGGTGCCGTGCAGCCCTGGCTTCCCTGGTGCACCTGGGCCCTGTGTCCCCCGAGTGGGCTTGCAGGGCGTGCTTCCGACTTTAACTCCCTGCGCCCAGGTGGGGGGCAGTGGACGTTCAGCTCTGCCAGCTCCTCCTCCCTCAGCACAACCCAGGCGTTTTACCAACACCTTGGCCCTGCCACCGCCACCGCAGGTCCTGCCCCAGGTTCCCCGCCCAGCTCTGCCTCCCCCTTAACCCTTCAGTGGCCTTAGGGCTTCGGGGGCAGGAGACAGGCAACCCCGCCAAGGCCAACAACCAGGCTCCAAGGCCCTGCCCTGGAAGGAGCCGCCCCGGCGCCCGGACAGACGTCCTCTGCGAAGCCGCAGGCACAGAGCGTGCAAGCCCCCGACACCAAGCGGCCCTCGTGTGGGGACTCTCAGAGGCGGGAAGTGTACAGAACGCGGCAGAAATCACCAGAGCAGTCTGGGTCTCTAGAAAACATTCTTCACACCCACGACCCTCCCCACTTCGAAGTACAAGAAGCCGGCGGACCCTGGGCCGCCCCACGGCTCCGGGCAGCAGGCTCACGACGGCGGGCAGCTGACAGCGGGGACGCGGGCCATGGACAGCTGACAGGTGGCTGGAGACCAGAGCGCCTGTCCCACCACGCGGCCCACGCAGCGGCCACCAGGAGAGTCCAGGCAGGCAGCCACATGCCCCCTCCACCGTGACAGGTGACTGGAGCGGCCTGTGGCGCCCACCCTCCTTGCCCACCGCTCTCAGCCGCACCAACAGCCTCTTGTCACCATGTGCCACTGAGAGCCGGGGCAGGCTCAGCGGTCAGACTGCGCCCGTGAAAATATGGCCAGGGAGCAGCGGAAGCCCCTGGCCTGGGCCTGTGTTTGGATGCACCAGGCTCCTCGGCTGGGAAAGTCCACGCTGGGCCTTGCCCACTGCCCGCCGCCTGCCGTCCAGTCCCTCTGGAGGCCTTGAGTCTCCAACGTGACCTGAGTTACCTCCACGGGCTGGGGGGCTGCCTAGCCGCTCCCAGCCGAGGGGCAGATGGAGCCGCACACGGGCAGGGCGGGCGCACCCCCTCGCCGCCTGCTGCCTCGCTGGGCTCGGGCGCAGGCCGGGTCTCACTCACGGGGTCCTGGCTCCTCTTCAGCCTGGTGGGGGGACACAGGGAGGGGCTTCATGCAGCCTCACCGGCAGCCCCAGACACTGCTCTCTGGCCCAGGACCTGTCCCTTAGGACCACACGCCGGGCATCTCTGACTGAGCCACGCTGGCACAGCAGGGAGCTGAGAGTGAAAGGGGCCAGCCGAGGGTGTGCAGGCACATGGGCCGTTCAGCCCAGCACCCTCTGTCTGGCCATCTGTGGCCCTTGGGCTGGGAGCTGCGGGGCTGGTGAGTCTCAGTCCCTTTCCAGCCAGAAGCCACAAGGAGACCTAGTTTAAGTGCAGGTTCTCTGGGTTGGCAATTTGGAACAAAACTTTCCAAAGAGCTTGGCCAAGTCTTGTTATGACCCAGGCCTCTGACCTCTAGGATGGTGTCCAGTGTCCGCACATCTTGGTCACCAAGGCAAAACAGAGCACCTGCTCTCCTCCCAGGCCAGAGCTCAGAGTCACCTCCTCCAGGAAGCCCTCTGCGCCTCCCCCTGCCTCCCCTCCCCTGGGGCCCCACAGCACTGGGACTCCTCCCTCCACCGTGGCACGTGTCTTAGCTATCTATGGCCTGTCACCTCCCTGTCAGCCAGCTGTGCGCTTTCTGCCCCACGATCCCTGGCACTCGTAAAGGTTTGCTGAATGACTGAGTGAGGGATGAGAGTTGATGTGACTGCAGGGGCCGCCCAGGAGGTCAAGTGCCTCAGCGGGGCAGGCCACCAAGTGTCGCCCAGGAGACTCCGGCCATTGGCTGAAAGTGCCCAAGTTCAGAACAGAACGCTCCCAAGGAGCCCCTCCCCACAAGCCTGAACAGGGACCTCCCACGGCCGCCACTCCCCGGGGAGGGCAGGGGTCAGGGGCCCCAGCCCCGCCGATGCCATGTGGCTGCTGAGAAAATGCCAGCCCAACCCCTGAACTCCCCTGTGCCCTCGTTGCCGCCCCCACGCACACACTCACTTTTCTCTGTTAAAAATCACAAAGTCCTGCTGGATTGCATCAAGGCAGTCCTGAAGGTAGTCATTCTCCTGTTAGCCAGAAAGACACAGAAATGAGTGTAGTGGATGCCACCAGGTTTCCTCGCGTCCCTCAGGTGGGCTCTGGGGCATCCCTGGTCTGCTTCTCCATGGCCTTCTGAGAAGCTTGCCTTTGGGCTCTTGGGGAACTCTGCCCTCAGGCAGCTGGAGCCCAAGGGAGTCTGCACCTCCCAGTGACCTTAGCCTCTGACAGAACAATGCCCTGGCTCAGAAGCCCGGCCCCTGCCTCAGGGTGGATGCTGTCTGGGCCGCAATGTCTGCAGAACCAGGCTGGTCTGGAAGTCATACATCCCATGGCTCCCTCTGGGTCCTCCCAGTCACTTGTCCTTGGTGCACAAATCCCATCTCAGGGTCTGCTTCCGGGAAGCTAAGGAGGTCGGTGGTGCCCTGGGTTCACGCTCCTGTTCTCTGTCACGACACGGTCAGAAAGAGCCTTGTTCGCCCAGACATCCAGGTCACCCACCACGCTGACAGCAGGAAGTTAATCCGATCGATGAGCAGGAGGTGGCAAGTCCTCAGAGGCCCTGGTCAGACACTTCCCAGGGTGGGGAGAGAAATCCTACAAGGAGCCAAGAGCCTGCTCTACTGGAGCGTTGTCTAGGGGTCTGGCGATACGGGTCGTGCCGGGACCCCCCCACCTCCAATGCAAAGAGGAGCCATGTGACCCAGCACCTCTTCCACAGAAGCAGCACAGGCTGCGGCAGGCTTATGTGGGTCTTGGAGGAGGCTCTTTCCCCCTCTGACGACTGCCTGGCGCCCCAGACATCACGAGGGCTTCCACTCGGGCTGGCGGGTCATGACTGTTCCCAGCCGTGGGTGGCTCTGAGGATGGGTCTGCCTGCCCCGTCTGTGGTTCCCTCCCGTCTCCTCGCACGTGTGCACAGCCTGTGCCAGGCGGCACCCCCGGGGAGACTTGAGGGGACCTCTCTGCAGATCTCCGGAGCCGTCTCTCCTCTCTGCTACCTGCCTGGCACCTTGTCCCCGCCACCGCGGAGTCCCTGTCAGGGCAGGGGTAGCGGACCTGACTCATCAAGAAGGGGTGGGGCTTCTGCACCAAAACCGCCAGGTAAGTCACGTGGCCGCCACCTTCCCTGGCTCAGTGTGGATGCTAGGTGCACACGTGCACAAGCTCCAGCCTGCGGAGGTCCCGCGACCAGAGGCTCAGGCCACTCAGGGGCAAGGGGCAAGGTCATGCTGGGAGGTGAGCCCCTGAGACATGGAGACCAAAGGGGGTGCAGGGCGAGGGTGAGGAGGCATGAGAGTGGGAACGGCCCTGGGGGGCTGCCGAGGGCAGGGCTGCGGCTCACCCCACTACCCTTTCTCACCAGGTTCTCCCAGGACGAGAGGGGGTCTGAGTGGACCATGTGAACCCCGAGACGCGCCCCACGGCCCCTCCTCTTTCTGAGCCCCACGGTGTGCTATTGGCAGGGGGCCCTAAACTGTGCCTGTGCGCCCCGTGCAGCCCTGGGGCACGTCCCTCTGACGGCACACCCCCGTGGCCCAGGGGAAAACGCCGTCCCTCTGGGCCCCTCGCTGACACCTGCTGGGTGCGCGGCAGGAAGGCCCCGCTCCCTGAGGACGGAGCCCACGCGCAGAGTGCCTGTTCTGGGTGCACCTCTGAGTAAACCCTCGCACATAACCCTCAGGGAAGACGTTCCCGGGCCTCTGTCAGCGCTGACGCCCACAGCATCTGGCCCCAGATGTCACCCCACGTGGGAAGTGACAAAGGGCTTGGGCATGGAGACCAGGCTCCAGTCCCCAACTTTGTTGCAAACAACCTGCTGAGCAGTGATTCCCAAACCTGTCAAATTCCCTGGACGTGCACGGGGCCCGGAGAGTGGGCCAGTCTCACCAAGAACAGGCTGGAGGACTCACACTTCCTGACCCGGAACTCACGAGAGCTCCCTAGTCACCAGGGCGGCATGGACCAGCGGGTCAGGCATTCACGTTCAGATCAGTGGGACAGTAAATAAACCCCTCCGTTCATGGTCAATTAATTTCTGAAAATGACGCCGAGCAATTCAGGGGAGGAAATAAGAGCCCTTTCAACAAACAGCACCTGGAACACTGCACGTCCACGCGCAAAAGCATCAGGTTGGACCCCCACCTGACACCACCCACAAAACTCACGGCAGGTCCTAGACCGAAACGTGGGAGGAAAACTGTCAAACACTCAGAAGAACGCACAGGAGTGCACCTCTGTGATTTTAGGTTCGGCGGCGGTTTCTTAGAATTGACACCAGAAGCACGAATGGAGAGAGAAGGACAGACACACGGGACTCCATCGAAGCCAAGAACTTCTGCTGCAGGTGACGCCTTCCGGGAAGGAACAAGGGGCCACCAGAACAGAAGGAAACCGCTGCACATCGCCGAAGGCATTTATTTGCGCGCAGATCACGTAAACGAGTAACGCCTATCAGTCAACGATGAAAAAGACAAGCAAGGAACGCGCTTTCGGCTCTTTCACGTCAAGAACCGGGAAGCCGTCCCTCCCGGGAAAAAGCTGGACCCGCGGGAAACAGCTCCGCACCTGCAATGCCGCTGCTGGACACCAGGGGCCGCCAGCAGCACATGGCGGGAGGTGGGGAGCTGAGCCAACACACCTGCTCCCTGAGAAGTCGAGGTTTCCAGGGGGAGACCCCAACCCCGGCCCCTCAGCGCAGTGAGGAGGGGCTGACGCACGTCTCTGCCTAGGACCGGTGCCTGGAGCAGCACAGGGCCCACCAGGTGTAGGAGACTGCAGCCCAGGGCGACCCCGAGGGCTCCGCCGGGTCCAGGGGCAGGGAGACTGCCAAGCATGCACAGTGTGACCCCCTGAGTTTGTGCAACTTGAAATGGAACCAGGCAGTGAGGATTAGATTAGATCACGACACACCTGATTCCACTCACACCAGCGCGCACGCAGGCCGAGCTACCATGAGGACAGAGCTGCCGCCAGGCCAGGCCGGGAGCCTGGCCGGAGAGGGACGTGAGACACAGAATGCAGGAACCAGGGCCCCCCCCAGTCCACACCTGCATCCCTGGCAGCGTTGTGAGCACCAGCCGTACCCCGGGAACAGGCTCAGGCTGGATCCCCTGCTCCGCGGGCACCGACCCACTCCAGAGAAGCAGGCGACACGGGGCAGGTTGGGGGTTGTGACAGGTTAAACTGTACCCCCCAAGGGGGTCCTAGCCCTGCACCCTGGAACGTGGGATGAAGTCCCTGCAGCTGCCACCAGTCCAATGAAGGGCAGGTCATCCTGACTAGGGGTCCTGCCCAGGGTGACTGCTGTGCTTGTGGGAAGACCAGGCAGACACATAACGCATGCGCACACACGCACGCAGGAAGACGGCCCGTGACCACGGAGGCAGAGCCTGGCCCGATGGCCACAACAGAGCTGGGCGAGGCAGGAGGGCCCTCCCCAGGCTGCCCCGGCCACGTCCCCCCGACATGGAGGAGGGAGCGTGAGGCAGGGGCCGGCAGACGCTTGCAGCCGGCCTGCACTCACCGACTGGGAGCTGTCTCTGCTGCTGTCTCGCGACCTGTTCTTGGCCAGGCGCTTCTTCTTCTTGTGCAGGGGCCTCGACTCCAGGATCATCTCCTCCAGCTCGAAGGTGGGGTCGCAGTGCAGGCGGCCTTTCTGTGGAGGGCGGGGCGCTGAGCCCGGCCTGGGCCTGCCCGCCTGCCCTGTCCGCCCCGTCTGCCCCAC